TCTCCTCCTCCTCCTCCGCCTCCTCATCCTCCTCCTCCTCATCCTCATCCGTTTCTTCCTCCTACTCCTCCTCCTCCTCCTCCTCCTCATCATCAGCAGCATCATCATCAGCATCATCACCATCCTTGTCCTTCTCCGTCCTCCATCCCTGTTCTCCCTCCTTTCGCTTTCCCCTCCTCCTCCTCCTCCTCCTCCTCCTCCTCCTCCTCTCCTCATGCTCCTCATACTCCTCCTACTCCTCCACCTCCTCCTCCCATGTCCTCTTCCTCCTCCTCATTCCTCCTCCCTCATCTCCTCATCTCCTCATCTGATCATCTCCTCATCTTCTCATCTCCTCCTCCCTCCTCCTCCTCCTCCTCCTCCTCCTCCTCCTCCTCGTTCTTCCTCCTCCTCCTCCTCCTCCTCCTCCTCCTCCTCCTCCATCTTCTCCTGGCGTCGCCACGGCTGGACCCAGCTCCAGAAGCTCGGTTTTTGCACCGCGGCCCGGCTGGGTCGCGCTGCCGAAGGCCGTGGCACCCCTGCGCGTGTGCGCGTGTGCGTTTTCTTTATGGGAAGCCGGCGTCCGAGCGGACTGCTCGCTGAGCGGTCGCTGGCGCGCTGGCGCAGATGCCCAGACCGATGGGTCCAGCCTGCTCCTCCTCCTCCCCCCTCCTCCTCCTCCTCCTCCTCCACTCCTGCTCCTGTTCCTCTTCCTCCCCTCCTCCTCCTCCTGCTCTCCTCCTCCTCCTCATCCTCCTCCTCCTCCTCCTCCTCCTCCCTATCCTCCTCCTCGTCCTCCTCCTCCTTCTCTTCCTTCGCCTCCTGGTCCCCCTCCTCATCCACCTTCCTCTCCTCCTCCTCCTCCTCCTCCCCCTCCTCCCCAACCTGCAGGTTGGCGTCCAGGAGGTTTCCTTGATGTCGAGGGTTGGGTAAAAGAGTTTGCGGGGTGTTTTCGTGACGGACGGGCGCAGGCTTCACTTCAGCAGCGCAGTCTTCGTCAATCGCTGACACGCTTTGAGTCAGGCAGCCTCCTCCTCCTCCTCCTCCTCCTCCTCCTCGTCCTCCTCCTCCTCCTCACCATCCTCCTCCTTTCAAGCTTTCAGTCTTCGACTGCATGATCCCAGCGACGTGAAACCAGCAGCAGAACGACGAGAGCGGAGCGGGACAGAGCGGGGACAATATGGGGCACGCAGCATCGACTCCCTCCTGGTAGGTATACAGCGGAGGAAGAGTTTTTTTGTACTGGGGTCGATACCTCTCCTCAGGAGGCGGAGGGTGTTGCCAGCATCCTTGTCCGAGGGGGACCCCAAACACTGCTCTGACAACGTCAGCACCTTCGCTCGAGCGAACATCCGCACAACGAACAAGAAAACAAACGCGAATTCGAGTGAGTCTGCCTGATGACTCTCTGAATTCCGCTACGCTGGGTTAGGGCGGGGGCCGAGCATGTCCTCTCATGGGACACCAGGATCCGACAAGCAAAACCTTCCCCACAGCGCAGAACCTCGTAGCCATTCGGGCTCGGCACTACGGAAAGATCCGAAGGCTTCGATTTGACCCTAGCCATAACAAGATCCACATCGGGAAAACGGCACCTGGATCAATGGCCGAGAAGCCGGGCAGAGTAGAAAACCAGGGAGGAGAGCCGCTCGGCCCTCTTGGCCTCCAGTCTCTGCAAGTGCTCCGGATGTGGCACCTGACTGGCGGCTCGCTTGCTCAGGAGGTCCACTGCTCCATGTCCATGCCAGGCCCAGCTGGGGCAGCCTACCACCCCCGCTGCCCACCAGGACTGGTGGCCGCAGAACTCTGTTCGCACACCACTCTCTTACATAACCTGCCCTCGGAGCCGCAAGAGAAGTCCCGCGCGTGCTGATCCCGCCAAATACCTGCCACCTGCACGGCGCACCTGCCCCGCATTCGAACTGTCATACTGAGCAACGCAATCAAGGAATGTCCGTCGTCGTCTGGTTTCGGAAGAGCTGGCTGCACAATGAGAGGCCTGCGACGGCGAGTTTCCACCCGGCAACGCCCATCCTCGCGAGCGATTCAGCGCTTCCAGGCGCTGATCAGATAGCCGGAAAAATCTCGAGGACCTAGCCCATCCACGCCGCGAGCTGCCCGCGCCATCATCTTCCTAGCTGCGCGCCGAATCTGCTCAGGGCAGGAGTCCATGTCGAGGCGCTGCATTACTTGACCGAGCGCATGGAAGCCGTGCAAACTCCTTCCCGGTCCTGCGGAGGCCTATTTCGAATGCCTGCTCAATCCCAGGAAACTTCCTAATCCTGGAGATTCTGCTCGATGGGCCCCTGTGGCCCGGGGGGGCCATGACCAGGCATAAGGGGGCCTACGAACCGCAGGGCGCCAACCGATTGGGTGCTCGATGCGCTGATGGGCCTTGCCAGCCCCGCCCGCGCTGCCACCTGCACAAAGCCCCCCAACTGTCGAGCGCGATTGCCGGCGAACCTCGCTTCCAACAAATTTGCTTGGCCTCCAGCGCGCTCGCGCAGATCGAATAGCGCCTCTGAGTCACGCTGGGCAAGATACCCCGCGCCCAAGTATGTCGCGTGTTTTCCTACATTTCTCGGCAACCATGATCTCTGGCGCGCGCGAACACATCTCAGCCAAAAGCGCTGCCGACTCAACCTCGTCCTGGCCAAAATCCGGAAAACGAGCTCTGGCAAGCTCTTGAGCCCGACTTCCCCGCCCCCTCCAGGCCCCGCTGAGGGGGCTGGCGACGGGGCAAGGACCCGCGGAAAAGGGGGAAGGGCGGGGGTGGTTTGCAGCCCCCAACCCTGCCCTCGACTAACGCATCAGCGGCGTTCGCTCTCCGGGATAGCACGCGCGCCCAGGGCCCCCTGCTCCGCCGGGCCAATTTTGCTGGGAAAAAATTGAGCTGCTGCTGGTCTCCTCTGGCCTCCATCTCCTGGAGAACTCCCCCCAATTCAACCGGTGGCGCCGGGCGGAATCCGACGCAGATCTCCCGCGTGAACATCTCGGGCGCCCTGGGCGCAGCGATGCACAGAGGCGCCGCCCCCCCTCGAATACGCAGCAAGACTGGCCGATGCGAACGCGACGCAGCATTCAGCGAGACAGTGCGCGAGACCATTGAGGGAGCCAAAGCATCTGAAACTACTAAATAGTCACAAGTACGCAAATCCTGCTGTCCTGCCGCGCACGCGGGAGCGCCTGGAGCGATGGTGCGTCCACCTAGCCTACTGGCCCACTCTAGCTGTCCAAGAAGATCCGGGGGGGCATCCCAATCGCCTCCGATGGCGCACACTAGCTTAGCAGCGCGTCGAAGCCCCCTCAAACTGCAAAGCGACAGCGACCCATTGGCCCCGAAAGGATTAGTAGTTGGCATATAGATAGAGACAGCCAGGAAACCACCACCGAATTCAACCACTGAACCATAATGCAATGGGGATGCAATGGCTGAGGACGACCTGGGGGATATCCCATTCCGATGCAAGCTGGAAGCCCGAATAGCAACACCGCCAGAAACGCCTCCCGCCTCTGTGTCCCGAGAAGGCCCAATGAACCCCAGCAGATCTTGGCCCCTGAACATTTTCTCACATTCCACCTTTCGTAACTGCGAAACACCTATTTCCTGCAGGAAGAGAATCTGAGGCCCCAGGGTGCTGGGGGACATGGATTTGCCACCTGCGTTGCGAAATACAGCGCTGCTATTCCTGGGCCGAGCAAGCGCCTCGACATGAGAGAAGCAATCGCCTCGACATGAGAGATGCACGGCGTACTGAATGTGGCGCCGGCCGCACGGATGCACAACTCCTGGATGTTAAGCCTTAGACTGCGAAGCTTGGCCTCGACTGCGCTGTCTGAGGACGGCGCGGTGCCCTTGCCCTTGCCCTTGCCGTCCTTGGTGCTCGGGGCGGCCTTCTGCACCTGCTTGACGTTCTCGACTGACGGTCCTGGTGCCTGCGCAGCCGTAGCACTGGCACCTTGGGAGTTGGCGGCGCCTGAGGTGGTGTCGGCCTGAGCAGGAGGCCCCTGCTCAGGGTCTGCTCAGGGTCTGGAGCACGTGCCCCTGCTTCAAAAGGCGAGGGGCCGTCTTGCGATCTTCGACTTCATGTAGCTCATCCTCTGACACCTCGACGTCGCCGAGAACTTGCAGATCGAACAATCTAGTGTCCTCCATCTCGATATCATCGCCATCAAGCAACGCCTGGAGGCTGATCTTTTGGCTGTCGACTTTGACCGCGGGCGGCTGCGGGATGACCTGGCCAGCCAGCTTGGCCACCGTGTCCTGGTAGACCTTCTGGCTCTGGACGAAGTTAGTGTCGGACTCTGCCACCGCCGCCCTCGCCAGCTCAGTCTGCTCAGCAAGTTGCTCAGCACGCGCGACTGCTCGCTCCATCTGCTGACGAGCAAGTTCCATGGCATGCTGCTCTGCCCCGAACGTCGGCGATCTCGCCTTGGTCTTGGACTCGAGGTCACCGAAGATAGGCTCGTAGCATCGGGCTCCGTCATCTCCAATAGCTGCCAACGCATTTCTTACTTCCTGAACTTCGGGGATCTGGCTGGTTTTGTAAGTGGGCCTGGGTGCTCCCGTCGAAGCCATATCGAGCTGCCGCTCCATCGAGCCATATCTGGAGTGCCAAGCTGGAGGCCGACTGCGAGGGGAGGTGAGGCTGGAGCTGCTCCACGATCGCCACCAGCAGCACGAGGACCACCCAGACGCGGAGGGGGATTCGCCCACACCCCGCCTGGGGCCTGATGGCCCGACTCGACGACATCGACCTGCTTGCCGCCGCAGTGCTTGCACCACGACCACCAGCCCTCGTCCTTGACACACTTGCAGTGGATGCACGTCCACGTCTTTCATGTCTTATGCCATTCATCGGAGCTCTTGCCCTGGTACTTCCGCTGGCGCCACTGCCCGCCGTCGAACTTAGGCGGAGACATGCTGCGGCAGAGGAGCGGGAAGACCAAGCGGGCGCCTGGGCTTCCTCCTCCCTCCTCCTCCTCCTCCTCCTCCTCCCCCTCCTCCTTCTCCTCCTCCTCCTCCTCCTCCTCCTCCTCCTCGTCCTCCTCCTCTTCCTATTCCTCCTCCTCCTCTCCTCCTCAGCATCTCAGCATCAGCACATCAGCATCATCATCATCATCATCATCATCATCATCATCATCATCATCATCATCATCATCATCATCATCATCATCATCATCATCATGATCATGATCATCATCATCATCATCATCATCATCATCAGCAGCAGCAGCAGCATCAGCATCAGCATCAGCATCATCCTTATCATCATGACTGTCATACCCTCCCTCTTCCTCCTCTCTCCTCATGGGGTAAGGTTCGGTGGAGGCACGTTGGCATCGGCAACGCTTGGGGAAATTGCCCGAAGGTCGGTTGCTGTCTAATTCAGCTCGTCTTCCTTCATTCCCTCCTCCTTCCTTCCATACTTCCTTTATTCCTTCCTCCCTTCCTTCAGTCATTCCTTCTCCTCCTCCTTCTCCTCCTCCTCCTTCTCCTCCCTCATCCCCCTGCAAGGGAGCCTTCCGCCACGGCATCGGAAATCTCAGCGCGCGCGGTCACAGAAGTATGAGATATCCGAGGCCCAGGCTCTGGACCCGACACGGCCCCGAGCATGTGAGGACAGCATCTCGAAGTCTGGGGCGGTTGCTTCAGAATGGGAGGAAGCCGAGGAGAAAGGAGGAGGAGGAGGAGGAGAAGGAGGAAAAGGGGGAGGAGCAGCAGGAGGAAGAGCGCGAGCAGGGGAACGACGACGCGGAGGGAGAGGAGGGCGAACTGGAGGCCGAGGACGAGGCAGGGAAGACGACGACGAGGACAGGGATCGGAGCGACAGCTCTTGAAGCAGAAGAGCGCTCGGGGGGAAGCGAGAAGGGGCGGGCCTTCTCAGAAGGCTCGGAAGTCCCCTGGTCTTCTGAGAAGTGTTCTCAGCCTTCCCCGAAGACGCAAGAAGAAAACCTGTCCCGCCGCCTGGCGAGCAGGCCTCCTCCTTCTCCCTTCCCCCCTTCGCCCGCCGCCGATCTTGAAGCAAAAGCGCTCCCGCGTCGCGCGCGCAGCGCGCGGTGCGGCTCACGCGGAGAGGACGGCCGCCGCCGCCGCGGCGGCGACGCCGCCGAGGCCCGCGCGGAGCGCGCCGCTCTCGCGCCGCTGCTCGTCCTCCGCCGCCTGCAGGTCGTCGGGCCCGGCCCAGCCCACCGGCTTTACGAGCAGCTCCTGTGGGACGCAGAGGCCCCCAGAGGAGGGGCCACGAAGGGGGGGGGACTGGCGCAAAGGGGGGGACCCATGGACCCAGAATCGGCCACACATCGACGATGGATCGGCGAGAGGCCCCCGATAGTGCCATCCGCACGTGCCTGGGCAGGCTGGGGCTATCGGGCCCCTATCGGCGATGAATGGGCGATTGGGGGTCGATGCGTCCCCCGCTGTTCCTATCCCCCCCTATAGTTGCCCCTGATCAGATCTGGGCGATGCAACTTTTTCACACTGGGCGTGTTCGCCCGATTTCGGGCCACAGGACCCTCACATATCGATCCGGCTTGAAAAAGAGCGCAGAAAGGTGCGGTCTGGGGCTCCGGTCGTGACTGGTTGCGGTGTTGACGTTTTTGTTTACAACGGTGGATCTCGGGGAAGGCATACTAATACTATATGTCCTCCTTGGAGGCGTGCTCCCGACGAGATCATGTAGTACTAACACCTTGTTGCGAATCGTTTCCCGAGCGGCATGGCCAGAAAGCGCTCGCCACGCAACGGAGCTTCTGCCACGCAGTTTCTCGGCGCGCGCGTCGCCCCTGGGATGCAGACGCACACGCAGTATTAGTATCTCTGGGTGGTGCAGCTCCTGGGAGAACTCCTCGGACCCGACGCGGAGCACCACGTGGCTGCTGCCGCCCGCGGCGCGCAGCGGCACCGACCGGGTGCTCTGCTCGGCTTCGCTCGTGAGGCTCACCTCGTAGGTGTTCTCGTCCAGGGCCACCGCGGAGCCTGGGCGGAGCTCCGCCGCGCCCAGGCGCTGGCCCTGCCTGCCGGCGACGCGGATCCTCATCGCGCCCTGCTGGTCCCCGGCGTAGGCGTCGATGACGGCGACCTGCGCGCGGTCGCCGCTGGCCGGCCCGAAGGTGTGGGAGGCGAAAGTGGCGGCCATGGAGTGGTTGCCCTTCTTGAAGGGGACGAGCACCAGCGTCGAGGCGACGAATGGCAGGTGCGTGGCGTGGAAGACGCCCACGCTGAGGCCCCCCATCTTGAAGTCCAGGCGCTCCCCCTCCTGCAGCTCCATCGCGATGGCCTTGCACTGCTTGTAGCGCATGGGCTCCTCGGTCAGCTTTGCCCTGCTGTTGACGGTGTAGACGCTCAGGGGTCGGTTCTCCGCGTACCCGTTGCAGATGGTCAGGTTGTGCACGCCCTCGCCCGCGGCGGCGGGAGCGACGGTCAGCAGGGCCAGGGCTCTGAGGGAGAACATCTGCGTCGTCGGCCGCGCGCAAGCTCTGGGAGCCTGCGTGCTGAGAAGTATCGGAAAACAGGTTCGGGGCCCAACGGCTACGGAGGGGCGGAGGGACTGGGCTGGTCAGGCGTGCAAGGGGGGGGGACGTGACAGTACGCGCTGCGTCAGGGCGGGGGGGGGGGCCAGACGCAGCCGCCGGAGTTCCGCTGCTCGGCGACCCGTGGTTTGACTGCGGGCCTCCCGCGTGTGCTGCGGCAGCGCGGTGGCTTACACGTCACATCGACCTCACCAGGACTGCCTGTGAAAACTTAGCTGGCGCAGCCGCCTCCATCTCCCTGATCCCCCTCACTCCTCCTCCCAACTCCCGCCTCGTTCTGCTCTCCCCTCATCCCCCTTATGCCCGCTCCTCCTCCTCCTCCTCCTCCTCCTGCTCATCCTGCTCCTCCTCCTCTTGCTTCTTCTCCTCTTTCTCATGCTCCTGGTCCTTCTGTCGATTATGCTTAGAACTGTTATTATTGTTAGTGATCGTCCTCTTCTTGCTCTTATCCGCCGGCCGCCTTGCGGGGCCACCAGGCTGCGAGGGTGAGGATTGCAGCTCCCTGTACCAGTTGCAGCTTCCAGTTTCCACTGTTACAGTCCTGCTTTCTGCGCCCTTACTGGCAAAAGTTGCTGATCGCGCGAGGGGGGGAGCCCCAAATCAGGCTTGTTATCACGCTCAAATCGCCTTGTCTGAATTCCTGGGGGGGCGTGGGACATCTAAAAATACATGATATTCGCGTCCCCGAAGCCATAAACCCTTGAAGCCAAATAAATTACACAAGACTCGCGCCCCCGAGGCCATAAACCCTTGTAACTTACACAATAGTTGCGCCCCCTAGGCCATAGACCCCCGTAAATTACACAAGATTTGCGTCACCGAGGCCACAGACCCTCGAATGTGTCAGATAATCGCGTCCCAGAGGCCATAAACCTCCGTGAATTATACAATAGTTGCGCCCCCGAGGCCATACACTCTCGCAACCCATGCAACATTTGCGTCCCCGAAGCCACACAACCTCGTACATGTTATCCGTACTCGCGTCCCCGAAGCCATGAACCATCGTACATTACCTCATACTCGCGCCATCGACGCCATAAACCCTCGTAACTTAATATTGGCCCTCGCGTGAAGTCCCGACATTGCTTCACGTCAGCGTCCAGACATCCCAACACAGCTCTGGCAAGTCCCATTCTAAGAGAGGGGGGCCGGCGGCATGGGGGCGAAGCTCTGACGGATTATCACTACTATCAACTCTTCTTCGGATTATTATTATCGGTGTTCGCCGTAATAGTTTTGCTACTATTGTTGGTGGTATTCAACTGAGTCGTTGCAGTAATCACATTCGCATTAGAAATATTCGGTTTTCCTCTCCTACTATGATTTGTCTTCATGTGTGTCATATTGTTCGTCTTTTCATATTACTCCGTCTTAGTCTCCAGACTCTTCTTCATAGTATCATAAGTGTTATTATTCGCCCTCCCTCCCTCGCTCCTCCCCTACGCTCCTCTCCTACCTTCTGCTCCTCCTGCTCCTCCTGTTCCTGTGCTCCTGCTTCTTCTCCTCCCCCATCTGCTCCTGCCCCTGTTCGTGTGGTCCTGCTCCTGCTCCTGCTCCTGCTCCTCCTGCTCCTCCTCCTCCTCCTCCTCTTCCCCTCCTCCTCATCATCGTCTTTCTCGCTCCTTCTTGCCTCTCCTCCTCCTCCTCCTTCTCCTCCTCCTCCTCCTCCTCCTCCTCCTCCTTCGCTCCAAGATGCGCGATCTCCCACGAAAGGTCTCCACACTCTGGCAGCAAGCTACCAGCTACCATCGCGGCTCTGCACCCTGCGACGCGCGCCTGGCCATCCCAAGTCCCCCTTCCGGCAGAGGGGAGGGACAGAGCAGCTTGAGGGCGACAACGATGACGCGTTGAAGGAGGAGGGGGATCTTGAAGGGGCCCTGGGACACACAAACAAATAGACAAAAATAAAAGGATTCACAATATTTCCCCATATGTTCTGGGTTTTTGTCTTCTCCCCCACTTCCCATATTTTCCCGTATTTTCTTGGGAATCGACGATTCATTGTGTCTGTGTGCTTTTTTCCCTCCTGAGATCTTGCCATCGCTCGGGCGCGCATTCCCTGTGCAATGTTCCGTGTCGTGCTTTTGTTGTTCGCGAGACAATCCAAGATGATCCAAGATGGTTCACACGTCCTGGCGCTGGCCTCACCGAAGAAACACGTGCACGCCTAAGCGATGCCGAGGGATGTGAAGGAAGAGGCGCTGGAGGAAAAGCGAGGAGCTTTAGAGAGCACAGCAGGAACGGGGGAGAGGCAGGTGAGAGGAATACAGTCAACCCATATAGTAAGCTTAGGTTCTCATCGACTCCGAAGACGGTGTCAATTTCCATGGGACCTTTTCCATGTGGTCTTCTGGGTTCCTCCCTTTCACCCTTTCACCAAAGCGTGATTTTCGGGCGGATACTGCGAAGTTCAAGGAAGGGTTTGGCCTGTAGCGTACCAGCGACGACCGACGACGATGACGACGACGACGACGACGACGACGACGACGGACCACCGACGATCAGCATCATTGTCACCTGATCCACGTGTGCGGGAGAGGCGTTTCCGGAGCCTCGCAGGCGTCATGGGGGCGTCCTCGGGCCTCGACATTGGGTGGGCAGGTCGGGGGGTGCAGCCAGGGCCACGTGTTCCGAAGGGCTGTTCCGGAGCATGGAGGACGAAGGGCTTCCAGCGGGCTTCTGAGGGTCTGTGTAGAGGCCTCCTGCAAGCTCGGTGGGGGTTTCTCGGGGGCTTCTCGGGTCTTTCTGGAACCTTTTTGGTGGCTTTTTGGGGCGTCGTGGAGGCCTCCTGGGAGTCTCTTGGGGCCTCCTGGGGGCCTCTTGGGGCAGAGGGCGCCTCTGTTCGGGCATTTGAGGGGCTCTCTGGAGCCTCCTGGGAATATCTTGGGCCAGCTTGGGAGCCTCTGGGGGGTTCCGGGGCCCCTTCTGAACCCTCTTGGAGCCCTCAAGGGCCCCCCAGCCCCCCATGCGAACCAGAGGTCGCAGTTCTGGGCCCATCCCGCAACTGTGTCTGGGTTGTGGGTGAGAGGCTTCTCGGATGTTCGCTGGGATGATATCGTAGGATGCCTCTCGGGGGGCCTTGTGGAAGCAGGATTGAAGCCTCCACGGGGGCGTTGCGGAGCTTGTCGGACCTCTCTGAAGCACCTTTGGGGCCTCTTTGGAGCCTCTTGGAACCACTTGGGGGCCTCGTGGGGCCTCCTGGGGGTCTCAGGGGGCGGGAAGTTCGAAAGATCGGTTCGCGTTCCCTGTCTTAGGCCCATCTTGGAGCCGTCTTCAGGCCATCTTCAGGCCCTCTTGGGCCGTCTTGGGGGCCTCTTGGGCCGATCATGCGGCCCTCTTGGGCCGTCTTGGGGGCCTCTTTGGGGCCTCTTGAGGCGACGTTGGAGGCTTCTTGGGCAGTCTTGGAGTGCCGGCCGCTCGAAAACGTGAGAAGCAACAAATATTGGAAGCAAACAATGAAAATCAATGATTTTGGCGTCTTGGTGCTCTCTTGGAGGTCCTCGCGGAGCAACCTTGGGGCATCTTGGGGGCCTCTTGGGCCGATCATGGAGCCATCTTGGGCGACTTGGAGTGCTCTTGGGCCGTCTTGGCGGCTGCTTGCCGTCTCTAGAAGCCTAGGTGGACGCCTCGGGGAAGCGGAAAAAATTCGGGGACTCCGGAAACGGGCCCCTGGATGCCAAAAAAGGCCCCCGCAGCCCAGGGGGGCAAATTCGGTTACGGGGGGGGGGGGGACGTTTGGGAAAAGTGTGCGACCCTGAGCCGCGGGGCCCCTGACGCCGCTCATTACTATTATTATGAGGATTATGATGATGACGATGATTAGTATGATTAGTATGATTATTATGATTATTATTATATTATTATTACTATTAAATAATAATAATAAAAGTATTAATAATAATAATATTAATAATAATAGTAATAATTATTATTGTTACTATTATTATTACTATTATTATTGATAGTATTATAATTAGCATTATCATTATCATTCGTATTATTATTAGTAGTATTGTTCTTCTTAGTATTCTTATCATTATTATTCTTATTATTCTTATTATCATGATGACTACTATTATTATTAGTAGTATTAGTAGTAGTACAGTAGCAGTAGTAGTAGTAGTAGTAGTAGTAGTAGTAGTAGTAATAATAGTAGTAGTGTTATTAGTATTGTTAATAATACTTGTACTACTATTATTAGACCTGATCATTATTAGTACTGATTATATATATACGGTGCGGATGCATGGGCCTTGGGCGCCCATGGCGAGGCTCTTCGAGCGACGCTGGCCGTCGAAGTGGCTGAGGATGGACCGAAGATGACCGAAGAGGCAAGGATGTCAGGGTAGCCTCTCGCCACCGCTTGGACGTACATTCCCCGTGAATGTGTCAGTTTCGTGCGCTTTTTCGCAAAATGACTAAATGATCCAGGATGCTCCTCGATGGTCCCCACCGAGAAAAATGCACACGTCCGAGCAATGCCAAGACCTTGGAAAATTGCTCATCCTTCATGTGCGGGTCGACTGTGGAAGAACCCCAAAAACGGCAAAAACATGAGTTCTGGCGGCCCGCGCAGACTTCGTGGAGCGGCGCGGACCTCCGAGAAAGTATGCTCATGCCGTTTTGTTGTCGCCGTCGTCGTCGTCTTCGTCGTCGTCGTCTTCGTCGTCGTCGTCGTCTTCGTCGTCGTCGTACTCGTCGTCGTAGCCGTCGTCGTCGTCGTCGTCGTCGTCGTCGTCGTCGTCGTCTTCGTCGTCGTCGTCTTCGTCGTCGTACTCGTCGTCGTCGTCGTAGCCGTCGTCGTCGTCGTCGTCGTCGTCGTCGTCGTCGTCGTCGTCGTCGTCGTCGTCGTTGTCGTCCTTCAGAGTCGGCGGCACCAGCCGTAAGGCCTTCAAATTCATGTTCATGCCATTTTTGCGGCGGCCCGCGTCAGGGGGTGGAGGGAGGGGTCAGGGCTTCTCAGAAAAAGGCTTATCGCAGAAAAAAAAAAAAAAGCGAACGAGAGCGAGAGAAAGAGAGAGCGAGAGCGCACGAGTCGGACCGCCGGCCCAGGCGTCGGTGGAACTCGCGCGCCTCGCGCCCAGCTCTGCTCCTGGATGGCCAGTGCCGAGGCCCAGCAGGAACGCGTGGGCAGAAAGCCCGCGGCAGGCGGCCCCGCGCTCCAGCGAGGGGCGGCGCGACTGCAAGATGAGAAGAGCAACGAGCCTGGCTGCCCCACAGCGGAACTGGGAGGCCATGGAGGGGAGGGGCCGCATCTTTGGACGGCCCGTTTGGTATCACGCCGCTGCGGTGAGGGCGCAGCTCCACCCCCCCTGCAGAGCGGATCCTCCGCAGGGTGCTCGAAAGACACCACCGGAGGCCCGAGTGCCAATCGGGAGGGCGGTCAGTGCACGGAGGCGGCACCGTGCGCATGGATGCAGGCGCCACCTGTGAGACACGCGCAGAAGCCACCCCCGCGGGGGACCGCAGACCCGAAGGGGAGGCAGGGAACCGCTCCCAAGCGTGGAAGCAGGGGGAGGTGGAAGGAGAGGCGGACAAGGGAAGAGAGGGGAAGGGGGAAAGAAGGCGGGAGAGGGATGGGGAGAGGCGGGGGCGATCCCCACCCGCCCACCCACCCCTCCGGTGCGTGGTCCTGAAGGGGGGGTGGACCCGGTGCCCCGCGAGCGCGGTCGGGGGCGGGCACTCAGGAGGCCAGCGAGCTCGGAATGGCGGAGGCGGCGGCGGCAGCGAGGGGCGTGCCGCCTGCTGCGGAGCAGCGTCCGCGTGGGCAGCACGGGGGCACAGCAGGCGGAGCAGGCGCGGCAGGTCGCCTGGGGGTGGGCAGCCTCGAACCCCGGCCGGCGGAAGGCCCGAGGAGGAGGGCCACGAGGGCGCCCAGCGGGAGCTCCGCGGAGCCATGGGCCGTGCCGGGTGGGGTCGGCGTGCTCGGTGCAACGGCCCCGCCGTGTCGGCGTCCGACGGGCCGCCCGGACAGCCAGCACCTCCCTGGGAGTGCGCGTGGCGGCGCACCGCAGACCGGGGAGAGGTCCCCTCAGAATGCCAGGCGCAGGGAGCCGAGGCAAGGCCTTGCGGGAAGCTCGGTTCTGGCGAGGCGCTGGGTCTCAGAGCCGGCGGCGCCCGCTCTACGACGGTCGCTCGTGCGCGTGCGCGGCCGTCGAACGCCACCGAGTCGGCGTCGGAGCGGGCCTCAGGCCGATCGGTGTCAAGGGGCAACGTGACAGTCGTGGAGGTATCCTCCTCTTCCTCCTCCTCCTCCTCCTCCTCCGCCTCCTCCTCCTCCTCCTCCGCCTCCGCCTCCGCCTCCTCCTCCTCCTCCTCCTTCTCCTCCTCCTCCTCCTCCTCCTCCTCCTCCTCCTCCTCCTCCTGCCGTGTGGGCGCAGGCGCGAGCCGCGCATGCCCAGCGGGCGCTTCACGGAGCCGTCGGACGAAGCCGGCGAAGGCGGGTGTCTGGAATGCGCGCCGACCGTGGAGGCGCGCAGCCCGGGGGTGAGCAGCGGGGGCGCCAGGAGTGGGGGGGGGCGCGGTGTCCCCATGTGGGAGACGGAAAAAGACTAGTCTTACGCGAGACGACATGGCGACACTACGCCTCAGCGTACGCGAGCCGCCAGCGCGGCACGCCGCATTGGAGACGGGTCGCTCATGTCGGGCTGTGGTGTCCGGTGTCGGGGGGCCAGCTTCCCTGGGGGGGGGTCGCCTGATCCCGCGCCATGGGCTGCAGGGGCTTTGACGGTAGCCGCCGTCGTCTCGCCTCAGTGAGCTGCGAGGCTGCTGCGGCGCGGGCGGACGGACGGGCTCGTAGGAGAGAGGGCGACGTGGTAATGTGGCCGTCGTGGCCGACTGCTCGCTCGACCCATTGTCCTATGGGGAGGTGGCCGCGTGGCCGCACAGGCAGTTGGTAGAGCTAGAGAGCCTCGTGCGGAGGAGGACGAGCAGCTGTCGTGAGGCCCCGCTGCGAGTCCATGCCGACAGCTGGGGAGCGACTCCTCAGATGCGTGTCTTCTTCCGAGCGGTGTCGGTATCCTCCCAGCTAATTACGGTCGCTGGCGGGATCGCCGTCGGCATCGCCATCATCATCATCATCATCATCATCATCATCATCATCATCATCATCATCATCATCATCATCATCATCATCATCATCATCATCATCATCAGCAGCAGCAGCATCATCATCATCATCAGCAGCAGCATCATCATTATCGTCATCATCATCATCATCACCACCATCATCATCATCATCATCATCATCATCATCATCATCATCATCATCATAATCATCATCATCATCATCAGCAAAAGTATCATCAGCATCATCGTCATCATCATCATCGTCATCATCATCATCCTCATCCTCATCCCCATCCCCATCCCCATCCTCGTCATCATGCGCATCCTCTTCCTCATCCTCATTATCGTCCTCCTCTTCCTCATCCTCATCCTCATCCTCATCCTCATCCTCATCCTCCTCATCCTCATCCTCATCATCATCATCATCATCATCGTCATCATCATCATCATCACCATCACCATCAGCATCGGCATCACCATCCTCATCTTCATCCTCATCCTCATCCTCCTCCTCATCCTCATCCTCATCCTTATCATCAGCATCAGCATCAGCATGATCATCAGCATCAGCATCATCATCATCATCATCATCATCATCATCATCATCATCCTCATCCTCCTTCTCCCCATCCTCATATTCATCCTCATCCTCATCCTCATCCTCATCAGTATCCTTATCATCATCATCATCCTCATCCTCATCCTCATCCTCGTCCTCATCCTCATCCTCATGCTCATCATCATCATCAGCATCAGCATCAGCATCAGCATCATCATCATCATCATCATCATCATCATCATCTGCATCATCATCATCATCATCATCATCATCGTCATCATCATCATCAGCATCATCATCATTATCATCATCATCATCATCATCATCATCATCGTCATCATCATCATCACCATCACCATCAGCATCAGCATCACCATCCTCATCTTCATACTCATCCTCATCCTCCTCCTCATCCTCATCCTCATCCTTATCATCAGCATCAGCATCAGCATGATCATCAGCATCAGCAGCATCATCAGCATCATCATCATCCTCATCCTCCTTCTCCCCATCCTCATATTCATCCTCATCCTCATCCTCATCCTCATCAGTATCCTTATCATCATCATCATCCTCATCCTCATCCTCATCCTCGTCCTCATCCTCATCCTCATGCTCATCATCATCAGCATCAGCATCAGCATCAGCATCAGCATCAGCATCAGCATCATCATCATCATCATCATCATCATCATCATCATCATCATCATCATCATCATCATCATCATCATCATCTGCATCATCATCATCATCATCATCATCATCATCATCATCATCATCATCATCATCGTCATCATCATCATCATCATCATCATCATCATCATCAGCATCATCATCATCATCATCATCGCCGTCGTCATCGTCGTCGTCGTCGCACCCGCCGCTGTCGACGTCCGTTCTTCAGCAGTCCGTCGCCCGTTGTCGGACCTCCGCCGTCCGCCGTCCGCCGCCCGCCGTCCGTCGGCCACCGCTGTCGCCATGAGTCGGTCGGTCGGTCCGTCAGTCGGCCGGCCGGCGCCGAGGGCGGCCGCAGACAGTCGAGGCTCGCCGAAGGTCGCCGAGGGCCACCGAAGGCCACCGAGGGCCGGTCGCCTCCCGGCAACCGGGTGAGGCCATCCCGACGACGGCCGTCGGAGTAGGTCTGGCTGGACTCGATGAGCAGCAGGGGCTCCTCCTCGGCCCGCCACCCCACTCGGCACGACCGGCCCTTCCTCCCTGCAGCTCCTCCTCATCCTTATCCTCCTCCACCTCATCATCACCAACGTCATCATCATCATCATCATCATCATCATCATCATCATCATCATCATCATCATCATCATCATCATCATCACCACCATCACCATCACCATCACCATCACCATCACCATCACCATCACCATCACCATCACCATCACCATCACCATCACCATCACCATCACCATCACCATCACCATCACCATGATGATCATCATCATCATCACCATCACTATCACCATCACCATCACCATCACCATCACCATCACCATCACCACCATCATCATCAGCATCAGCATCAGCATCAGCATCAGCATCCTCCTCCTCCTTCTCATCATCATCAGCATCAGCAGTATCATCATCATCATCATCATCATCATCATCATCATCACCATCATCATCATCATCATCATCATCATCATCATCATCATCAGCATCATCATCATCATCATCATCGTCATCAGCATCATCATCAGCATCATCAGCATCATAATCAGTATCATCAATACCATCAGCATCAGCATCATCATCAGCATCCTCCTCCTCATCATCATCATCCTTCCTCGCTCCTTCTCCTCCTCCTCATCATCATCATCAACATAATCATCATCATAGCCGTTGTGGCTCAGGCGTTGTGCCTGCGCTTGCAGCGGCTTCTCTTCACAACGGCATATAGCTGCTGCGAGCCAGATTGGCTCGTTTTGGTTCCTCATTCAGTTCGCGGGATCTCAACCCGCACGCGTTCACGATTATCCCTTCGGCCAGGCCATGGCGAGGAAGAGCGGAGGAGGTAAAGGTGTGGTCTCTTGGGCGCCGTGGCACCGCAGTTGGTCGCAGCCCCATCCGCCAGATGGAGGTGGGACAGGCAAAGGCGCTGTCCGCCTGCCGAGGCCCCGCGATCCCAAGGTCTGGCCCCCGCTCGTCCCTGGCCCTCAAGACCATGGTAGTGATGGTGGTGGCGGCGCTCGTCATTATGCTCCTTCCCGTTGGGAATGTTTGCTGTGTAGATGTCGCCGCAACGAGCACCGCTTCTACTACTGCAAACACTGTGGTGGCCTCAAGTCGGAGTCTACATACCTCAGTGGCGCATGGGCTTCGGGGAAGTCGCCCCTCGAGTTCTTCAAGGGCACTCAGGTCGGTGGAGGCAAAGGTGCCAGCGGCAAGGGCTCGGGTGTCGAAGGAGGCTCGAACACTACGGCGTCTGCTCCGTTTTCAAAGCTCTCTGTGGAGGAATATCTGCAGATGGCCGTTTTGTGTGAGAAGGCAGGCGATCTCCACGGTGCTCGAGGTTTCAGGACAGCGGCTCAGGCGCTCCAGGCGCCAGAGCAGCACCAGGTCCCCTTGCAGTCGAAGCTCAACCGCGCACACCAGCAGGCTCGTGCAGTGGAGAAGAAACTCAACAGTGCCGTCGACCGTTTCGAGCAGCTTGAACAGCAGCTGGCAGCACATAAGTCCCACGTGCTGCAACTCAGGGCGGATCTGGAAGCCGCAAAGGCAGAGCACAGCGGCCTGGTGCGCCAGCTGCACAATCAGCTCCCAGACGGTCAATCGCAGTCTGCAGTCGCTCCGGGAAACAAGCTCAGCCTCGAAGACTTGCTGGACGAGCAGCGCTTCTCGGCGGCCTTCGACCTCGACGTGGGAGATTGCTTCAAGATCGTTGGGGACGAGGAATCACTCTCGCCTGATGAACTTCAGCAATTATCGGCGCGAGTGGACCTTTTCAAGACTGGCATCGCGGACATGGCTAAGAATTTGTTCGCCGAGGCGAAGGCCAAGGTCGACGAGCTCAAAGCTGAACACAAGCAGTTCGCAGCGAGAATGGCAGCCAAGAAGCGTCGCACAGGAGAACAGGGTCAAGGCGTCGCTGGTGGTGACGCAGCTCCGCGTGTCCAAGGTGCTGGGGAGCAGTCCGACGACGGTTCGGCTCCAACTGGCGCGGAGGCGGCTACTTCGACGGCTACTACACCGACTGCATCGGGTCAGACGGCGGCGTCGTCTTCCCCATCAAGGCCGAGTGCGATGGCGAGGGCTGATAGGATCGCTGGCAAGGCTTCTGAGGCGGCCCCTCTGGAGGAACCTAGATATCCTGGGCACCTGGACCTCGGCGCCTCGTCTGGGGCTGTGGGGTCCTCCTGGATGTGTCCTGGCTCTTTCATGGTTTTCCTCCAGGGGGGCTATGGGTCTTTTCTGTTCCCAGGGCCGTGCCGCTCTTCGGCTCAGGCAGCTCTCTGGCGCAGGCGAGGTATGTCCCGCCTGGGCAGGACAATGTTCAGCCCCCCGCCGTCCAGTGGCAGGCAGATCGCTCCTCTGGAGGAGGAGGCGGCGGGGGGGCATGCGTCCCAGAACTCCTTTCCAAAGCTCTCGCGTTCCAAGGACGGGCCTCCTGCAGACCGAGATTTCAAGATCAGCGACAGTTTAGTTGCTGCTCGGGTTGGCGTCGGGTCCAATTTTGAATTCTCCCAGGTGGCCGACTCCCCGTCCATGGATCAGTTCTGTTTGAAGCTTGAAACCTGCAACGCCACGTCGTGGGGGTCGTGCAAGGAATGGCCCCTGGAGGCCCAGGCCCATGCCGCGGCCATCCAAGAGCACCATCTGGTGTCCAATGAGTCATGTAAAGTTGCAGAGGCCTGGTGCCTGCGCAACGGTTGGAAGGGGATGTTCTCTCCTGCTCTTCCAAGCGAGGGCGAGGGGAGCTCAGGCGGGGTTGCTGTGCTCGGGCGCGAGTTCCTCGGCTTGCGCCCCTTGCCCAACTTCAACTCAGAAGTGGTCCCGTCCAGAGCGGTCGCGGGCAGTATTCATCTTCCTGGGGATGAAGCTCTTCAGGTTCTCTTAGTCTCGGTGTGCTTGCACTGCTCCGAGGGCCTCACCAATCGCAACTTGGATATCTTGGGCGCTGTCGGCAGCCTCCAGGACATCCACGCGTCTGAAATGTTGGTGGGGGGAGATTTCAATATGAGCCCTGGAAAAATCATGGACAGCGGTTTCCCTGAACGTTTATCGGGACAGATCATCTCTCCGTCATGCGACGGCACCTGCTCCACCACGGGCGGGATGAAGTTGATTGATTTTTCCGTGGCCTCGAAGGGCCTCCCTCGCCATGGCTGTCAAGGATGTTTCGGCCCAAAGAGGTTCGAACATCACGCCGCATTTGCCTGTCCAACTCGAGCTGCATGAGCGCGCGGCTTCTCTGCAGGCTTTGGCGTTCGACAGACCCCCCCAATCCCCTCTGAGCGCCCCATTGGGCCCCCGAGGGCCCCCCCTTCCTGGGAACGCGCCCTCGGGACGGGAGGCAGAATCCTGAGTGAGCTGGTTCCTGGGGCCTCCTCCGAGGGTTCCCAGGAAAAACTGTCTCGGCTCTACCGCCTCTGGGGGAGTTTGGCTGAGTATGAGGTGGCCGAGGTTGCTCATTCTAAGTTACCTAGGTACGGAGCGCGCGGACGCAAGCCTAAGCTGAAATGGGCCTCTGTGTTTCGGGATTCCGCCCAGAGGTGCAAGCACCCTGAGCTTTTCGGGCTAAAATGGCTTTCGAGCACTTTCCGACAGTGGAGAAGTACCAAGTTTGGTTCCCCAGAGGCCCAACAGCGCGCTCGTTTGATCGGTGACCCTCCTGGGGATCTTGTCCAATGTTTGGGCCCGCACTCTGAGCTGCTTTTCATATGCCAACAGAGGGTTGGCCTTTCTCGTCCCCACCTTGCGCCGGCTGAACCGAAAATAATGCCAGGAACGGCGCGACTGTCAGAGTCGACGCCATGTCTAGGCAGGACACGCCCTGCGCCGTCGGCTACGTCGACCCCCGCTGCACAGAGGTTGACGAGGCTGACGAGGCCCTCGATTTCAATTTGCTCTCTGACTGGAGCCAGGCGCTGGAGGCGGAGCAGAACAGTGCCAGGTGCCAGGCTTCTAGATCCTGGAAGGAGTGGCTGTTTAAGAACATCGAGAAAGGGAGTCACAACGCGCATCTGGCCAGAAAGCCCGTGGCGGGCTGGAAGGCGCCCACCGCCCTGTTCTCGGCGGGGATCGTGATTTCGGACCCCCTGGCCCTCCTCAAGAACCAAGCGTCGCTTTTCTCCAAAATCTGGGAGGCCGAATCCAGGCCTGACGTTAGGGATCACATGCCTGTTTTGGAGCCCCTTCCGCCGCTCGAAGTTGATTTCTTGAGAGAGGTCTCTAGGAAATACTCGACCCGAACGGCGTGCGCGATGGACGGATTCCATTTGAGACACTACTCGTGGATGTCGGACCAGCGTTTACAAGTGGTTCCCATGATGATCAGTATAACGGATTCCATATCGTGCCTCCCGTTGCAAGTCCAGCTCACCCAAATGATTTTACTCATGAAGCCCAACGGAGGCTGGAGGCCGATCGGGCTATTCTGCGCAATCTACCGCCTGTGGGGAAGATGCCGTCGCATTTACGCCCAACAGTGGGAGGTCGCTTCCCCTCGGCCCTATTTTGCTGGCCAGTCGTTCGCCTCCGCCACGGACGTGGTCTGGAGGCAGATGCTGAAATCTGAGACCGCCAACTCCAAAGGGCTGTGTTCGGGGACTTTGCTCTGGGACATGACGAAGTTCCACGAAGGCATCTCTCTGGAACGGTTGGAGCTACACTGTCAGCGTTTTCAGCTTCCCCCCGTGCTGTATAGGCTCACGATCGCGGCGTACCGCGGAGCTAGGTTTATGTGCATGGGCAACTACGTGTGAGGGCCTTTCTACGCGGTGAGGGGGGTCATCGCGGGCTGCAGTTTCGCCACGTCGTACGTCAAGGTTTACTGCATCGAGAGTTTCGACAAAATCGAGTTCCCCCCCCCCCCCCCCCCTCCGCACGCAGCTCGACCAATATGTTGATGATAGTGGAGTCTCAAGCACTGGCACTGTTGCTCAGGTGGTCAGCAATTTGAAGGTGGCCTCTTCTAGCCTGCACAAGGCCATAGTAGAGGAAATGGGATGTGACATATCGCGCGACAAGGCCGCGTTCGTGACTTCCAGCAAAGAGGTCAAGAAGCAGCTGATTGACTTTTAGGGCCGCTCGCGGGCAGTCCCACGGACAGCGCTGTCAACCTGGGTATCGACGATACCGCTGGCAGGCCCAGGAGGGAAGCCAAAAGAAACCCCAAATTTAACCTCAGGGTGTCCCATCTCAAAGCTACCACCAAAAAGCTGATCCGCATGTCCTGCAGCCTGGGGAAATTAGCCAAGAGAATTTGGGTGTCTGGCGCCCTCCCGGGGGTCCTCTACGGCGCGGAGGCCCATGGAACCTCTGATTTCGAGCTCGGCAGAATTCGCATGGAAGCGGGAAAAGTTTTGCGTCCCAGGGCTGGGGGCCGCTCGCTCACCTCCACCCTTCTCCTCGACGAGGGCCCTACTTGGATCGCCGCCGCGTCCCCCATCACCAGATACCGTAAAGAGGCGTGGGCTTCCCAGACCCACTCCTACGCTTTAGGTTTGTCGCTTCCTGTGCTGGGGCAAGCCTGGGAGCAGAGGTTTAACAGTAAGATGCCCACCTGGCGTCAGGTGTGCGGACCGTTGTCAGCTATGAGACTCTCGTTAGCTCGGATACGGTGGAAGATGTCGAACTTCGCGGCGTTGATCTCGGACTTCGGCGATGAAATCCAACTGGCGACGGTCCCGCCCGCGCTGCTCAAGAATTTCCTCAGGGCCGCTGTGCTTCGACAGCACGAACGCGAGCCCCGTGCTAAGCTTCGCCTGCCATGCGATAGCTTGTGTTGCGATATCGTCCGCAACCAGCTCCGATCGAAACGATATTCGGCTCTCGAGAAAGGGTGCATCAGGAGCCTTACGTGTGATGCTCTCTGGACCAACAGCAGAGCGATAAAAGCTGGTTACATGCTGTCGGACGATCGCTGTGCGATGCGCGGGCAGCACGACGGCATGCCTTTTCGCAGGCTCTGGCGGCGCCCTGCTTTCGATTCGATACGATCGGCGTTGATAGGCCGTGGCATTCTGGAGGCCGCTGACGCGGCGGACCCGTCTGACCCCCTCACCGACCTTCTGTCCGGGAAAGGTTTGCCCCCCCACCCTGGGGGCGTTTCCCCGAGGCCCGCTGGCGAGAGCGCTGGGGCCCAGGCGGCCCAGGTCTGGCGCGGACCCCCCCACCCCCCCCCGGGTGCTGTTTCAGGCACTGTGTCGCTGAACTCTCGAGGGCGGGGCACGGTCTCGTTTTAGTCGACGACGCTGGCCGCGAACGGTGCGCGATTTACGCCCCCGTGTATATGCGCCGTTCCTTCAGACTCCCCAGCGCGGAGAGTTCGCGGCCCTGGCCAGAGCGGGGATCGAAGTCACGGGTCCGTCGTCTGTTTTTAGTGACTGCAAAAACGTGGTGGACCTTGCCCTTGCCCCGAGGGGGTTGCAGGTTTCTTACAAGAGGCCTTGCGCGGGCCTCATGATGTGTTTTTCAACAAAAAACATCGGCGCCCCGCGGATCAGCGCTGCTTCGAAGGTGAAGGCTCACCTCGACCCTCACGAGGAGGGAATCGGGCCCGACGAGAGGTGGCGCGGTTTGGGCAACCACGCGGCGGACCTGGCGGCGAAAGCAGGGGCCAACCTGCACCCTGCGGCCACGGACGAGGAGCAGGAGGCTTTGACCTTCTGCATTAGGGTCGCTAAAGCGGTTTGCAAATTGGCGGCCAAAATCCTTCCTCCGCGGCCTCGTCTGGACCTCTCCAGCTGCCCCCGTGAGGCCCAAGTTAGCCCCAGCACTGCCTCGTCTGAGGCGACCCTTACGAAGGCTATGCTTGCGAGCCAACATTGGTTCGTGCGCCAGGCCTCTCATAAATTTGTGTGTAGCCTATGACACTGCATCGTTAACCAGAAAGACATTCTGGAGGCATGCGCGACGGGGTGCTTGGTCGATCCGTCGGCGGACCCTGGGCCCACGGACTCGGTTATCGATGAGTTTCGGTCGGTGGGAGGAGGGGCGACGCTGGGTGGGAAACAGCTTCGCGAGTCTCATGCCCTCCGTTGCTGGCCGCGGCACTCACTTTATGTTTGTGCGATTTGCGGCCGCACGGCGACGA